GTGCCTGCCCTCAGATCAGGGCGCCATCTGCCTGTGTCCCATTGGCTTTGTGGGAGATCTGTGCGAGATTCGAATGGACCTGCAGGTGGGTGATCAAGAATTAATTCACCTTTGGTCGTGTTATATAGTTACTATTTCTTAGGTTCCCGCCTTTAATGGCTCTTCGTTCTTGCGCTATGCTCCCCTGGGAGATAGTGCCCTTATCTGGTTGGAGCTAAAGGTGACTCTGAAGCCCGAACAGGCAGACGGACTGATCCTCTATTCAGGTCCAGAACACCGAGGAGATTTCATAGCCCTTTACCTCAACGATGGCTTTGTAGAGTTTGCCTTCGATCTTGGCAGTGGTCCAGCTCTAGTGCGGTGAGTAACGGATTGAGGTACTTTGAAAGGAAATAACTAATTGGATTTCTGGTTTCTTTTACCAGGAGTGAGCATTCCCTGAGTCTGGGTCAATGGCACACCATCAAGATCTCTCGAACAGCTCGACTGGCGGTGCTCAAGGTGGGAAATCTTGGGAGTCCTTTGGCGTTCTTTACTTACCTCTTAAATTTCAATCCCCCAGGTGGATCAGCACCAGGAGGTCATGACCATCTCGTCGAATGGCTTCTGGCACTTGTCGCTGGACCAGAACCTGTTTGTGGGAGGCGTTAACCACGTGGATCGCCTGCCTCTGGACCTCAAGTACAAACCCTTCTTCGTCGGCTGCATCCAGAGGGTGAGTAGTAGACGACACCCCTTTTTCGCTCTTCAATCCCATTGTGTACCTTTGTTCACCACTCACAGATTGACATCAATGGGCACTCGCTGGGCATTGTGGCTGAGGCTTTGGGGGGCAGCAACATCGGCAACTGCCCCCACGCCTGTGTGGCGCGACCCTGCGGCCCCCTGGCGGAGTGTGTGCCGCAGATGGAGAGCTACGAGTGCCGCTGCAGCATCCACAACGAGCGTTGCAACAAGGCCGCCGAGGTGCCGCCCGAGCAGCTGCCCGAGCTGGGCATCCACAAGTCCAAGGTCCTCGAGACCAAGGACAATGGCGAGGCAGTGAAGAAGGTGTCTGGTTTGGCGCACAAGAAGCATTCCAAGAAGCACAGGAATTTGCATAAGCCAACCCCTGGCCCGAGCACGAGCACAAGCACTTCGACCACCACCATTATCACAAGCAGTGAAGCTCCTGATAGATTGGAGGCAGCCACTGCGGGGGCGCTGAGCAACGAGGAAATCGAAGATGATATCATATTCCGCTTTGTGCAGCAGCAACAGCAGCAGAAGGAGCTTAAGAAGCAGCAGATGTCTACTACGGTCCCTGCCACATCCACCACCTTTGAATCACCCAAACCCAAACCCAAACCGAAACCCAGGTTTGCCGGAAAACACCATGCCAGCAAACACGAGCACCATCAGAAGCCCAACGCGGCATTCACACGCAAGCTTAGTCGCCTGCCCACCCACTACGAGAGTTTCCAGACGAACCCCGACAGCGACATCCTCACCTTCGAGGACAACAACGACTGGGTGGCCAGTCTCCAGCAGCAGGAGTACGGCGATGCCATGGCGGCCAGTCAGGCGCCATTGGTAGTGGAGGAAGGAAGCCCTCCGAACCCCAAGTTGAATGGCAACAACGAAGATGATGAGAGCGCCTTTGTGTTTGACGAGTCACTTTTTGATGCCTCGGACGGCACGGAGGAGTACCAGCGCAAGCAGCTGGCCCAGGACATGAAGCGCATCATGTCCAACTCGAATACGCACTCCAGTCACAAGAAGTCGGAGGTGCAGTTCCCATCTCAGCCCAGTCCAGATGGCGTCTCCCCCAACGAAGATACCTCTCAGTACAGCGACGACTACAACGAAGATGAGCTCCTGACGCCCGTGATGCAGGCCGGGGAGGAAGTTAAGCCGGATCAGCACCCCTCTAGTACTCCGCAGACGCACACCGACTGGAGTCTTCTGAAGAAGATCGACCTGTCTGCTGAGCATCAGTCGCAGGTGCAGGGTGTACGCAAGAATTTCGGAGCTTGCTTCGCGGGCAGTGATAGCTACTTTCACTACAACGACGCCGAGACCATGAGCCAGGTTATCAGCTACAGCATCGACCTCAATCTGCGCATCAAGACGCACTCGGAGAACGGCGTGATCCTGTGGACAGGACGACAGGGAACGACGGAGGAGCACGACGACTACCTTTCGCTAGGCATCGAACAGGGGTGAGTGGGAAGAGGGGTTTCTATTTACAACGAAAGTAAACTTTATTTTAATCTTCCCATAGATATTTACACTTCCGCTACGATTTGGGATCCGGTGAGGTTGACATCCGCTTTAATGGCACCAAGGTCAGCGATGGCCTGTGGCATCGAGTGAGAGCTATAAGGTAGGCTTTATTCACTCTTCTATATCTTTTTAAGAAACAAGGTGGAAAAGCCAAAGGGAGAAGGGCTTACAACAATGATTTTGGTGGTACGATGCTAATCTTATAAGGTTTAAAGTCAATGATACGATAAGTTTCGTTCCTCAAACCCAATGAACACTTTTATAGCTCTAGATATTTTTTTGGCTACCCCAAATATGGCTAATCCTAACTAACTTGTTTACACCTTTTGCAGAAACTCCCAAGAGGGTTATCTCGAGGTGGATGGCAGAAAGACAGCCTCTCTACGAGCGCCGGGCAAACTCCGCCAGCTCAACACGGACACGGGTCTGTATGTGGGTATGTATCTTAAAGATAAACTACTATTAAATAGGATACTAAAGCATAACCCCTTCGACAGGTGGCATGCCCGACGTGGGATACTTCACGCACCAACGCTACTTCAGTGGCATCGTCGGCTGCATCTCGGAAATCGTGCTGGCCGGCGAAATGAAATTAAACTTCGACCCCAATACGCTGGGAACGGAGCACAACGTGGAGACGGGCCTCCTATGAAACGCTGCACGCACGCCTCAAGACTTTTGATATCGACTAGTTTAAATGTTATGTTAACCACACAAATGTCCTTTCGTCGGTTTGTGTTTGTACAAATACGCTTTTAAAACCAAAAAACAGAGAGAGAGAGAGAAATCGCAGAGTTAGGGTGAGGAACATTTTTTTACACCAGGAGACGAACTAAATCTAGAAGGGAAACATACTACATATTATATACAAGCATATTGAGTATATACAAAGGCATACATAGATATATATATATTTAAAGCAGAGGAAACCAAATCGAAAAACCAAGGCACGCTTCGTATAGAGCCTGTGACTGTCAATACTTCAGATCGGAATAGTTTATATATAACTTTAGCAAATGATTTATATCGAAGGAGTGTAAGTCATATAGAATATGAAACAAGAGCGGAAAATCTGAGTAACCAAGCTGTCCATTTGCCGCGATTTGCGATTGGCGTTTAACGAAATTGACGATTAACGATCTACAAATCTCGATAGCGATACTTTAGTGTGTGGTCGCTTTTTTTGAACGAACCGTTACGCTTTAACTGCAGAGCTGCCATCTTTTTGTACCACACACACAAAAACACACACACCACACGCACTCGACTAACACGGTTACAAATGCAAATTGGCAATTCTTTCGTTTTTCGCATTGCTGTACCTTAAACTATGAACTGTAAACTGTATAACTGTACATTCTGTACTATTTGGCGCTTCTTGGAAGGTCCAGTCCAAAATCGAACGAATCAAAGACCGGAAGTTGGTTGGAAGGTAGATGATTTGAGATCAGCTAAAATGAGATGAGGAAACAAACATATTAAGTGGTAAGTTAATAAATGTGTAGCGTGTACTAGCTCGTAAGTCGGCACACTCTCACACACACACACACACTCGGTCACACGAACACAAATACACACGCCTGCCTATATTAACTTTTATATCAAAATCGTAAGATACTAAAGACACCAAAGAAACTTAAGACATACGTAAGGACACCAAAAAACAACACTTAACACTCGAACACACGCTGAACCAGAATTGAAACTTGTGAGCGATTTTTAACAATTTATACTACACACACAACAACAAGAACAACAGAAACAACAACAACTAGCTAATGGAAACCAAAACAAAAAAAAAAACAAGCAAAGCAATTTAACAATCCCATAGCGAAATTTTTAAATGCGAAACAAACCACTAATCCGAATAGCCTGTTGAAACAATTGTAAAAGAGCGAACAAAGTATGGTAAATGGTAAATAAAAATAACTAAGGAGGGAAACGTTTGTATTCGTCTTATGAGTATAATTTTGTAGCTTAATGAGATAACAACCTCGTATGTAGTTATATATACATCATAAACACATATGCGTAACTATATATGACTATGAGAAACTATAGAAACAATGGCGTAAAATGAATAAAGAAATCACAACCACCAATCAATGTAAAACTAAATTAAACGACATTCAATGTAGCTTATTTATATGAAAAATGGAAGTCGAGGCATTGAGATATTTAATTTCGTACATTGGTTTGCAGAAAATAAAGATAAAAAGATTCTAATATTTGTTCTTTTGTTAACGCACTGGGTCTGTTATTTTCAAATTTTAAATATCGCTCACATTGGCGGTTAACTGTTGAAACTGGTTCCACTCAAGCGGTTAACCGGTCGAGCTGGTTCAACTTTACCGGGTAACCATTGGATTATGTTCCAATGCGACTAGTTCAAATGCTTTTATATAAAAATCTTATGAATTGTATTGTATTACAAATTTAGTGTTTAGAAAATTATTGATTTGCGGCTTATAGAAGTATTGTTAAATACTTAATATTTTTATTAGACTTCTATAACCTTTTTTCGATATATCCTGATTTTTTGGATTCATTGCATTTCTACAAAAGTCTCAATTTCGGGCTCGGGGATTTATTGTGTAAAAAAATGCATATACGATTTTTGTTAAAAATAATCAGTTATTATGGTGGTAAGGTCTAAGTCGTTACTGCTTCCCCATCCCGTGACTTCATTATTTTTCTGAGCTATCGATAGTGGTATCGCTGGGGTGCCACCACTACTGCGGACCACAACAACAACTGTGAGCAGAAAAGCTGTGACCACAACAACAACACCGCCAAGTGAATTTGGCCAACTCTCTGAGATCTCTAAGATTGGATTGGACTTGGACTGCGGAAGAGCGGTTGACGAGACGCGGAAGTAACAGCCTTCAACTCCAGCCATGGCCGCTGTGCTGCCGGAGAATGCGGCCGAGATCGCGGTGGCCAACGCAATCAATAACATCAACGGGAATGGAAACGGGCGCAATCGGGTGCTCCCGGGCGGATTAGGGGGTGGTGGCCAGGTAATTACCCATGCACTACCAGTACATAACACCCTTATCTTTGCCCTGACTTGCAGAACAACATGATGAACATGCGGGATCGACTGTTCCACGCCATATACTTTCGGGCGGCGGCCGCCTATGCGGAGTTTGTTCCACGGTGAGTGTCATCGGCCCCTTATCTGGCCACTCTTATCTCTGTACGTGTGCTCTCCACTTCCAGGAAGGTGCAGCTGACCATCGAGTTCCTGCTGCTGGCCAAGGCCCTGCTGTTCTTCTTCACGCTCATCTACGTGCACAACGCCTTCATCAAGAATCCCTGCACCTGTCTGCAGCAGGTTCAAAACTGGCCACGCGAAGGAGTCATCAGGCAGGATCTCCTCTTGGCATATCCCTTTTTATATTTGCTAATCGAATTTACTCCTGTGCAGAGTGGAGATCATCCCACACCTGGCGGAGAAGCGGGCCATTTGGCAGGGCATCAAGCGGGACCAGCAGATCGTGCGCTCTTTAAAGGATTCATAGTGAGGATTCATATAACCCTGTTACTGAAGGCTTAAGACTCATTTAAAAACCATTGTAGTTATTATGGCATCGGACCGCAAACCCTGGAAAATCACGACAGACTGAAGCGTTATGAGTCCATCCTCGGCAGGCTGGGTCTGCCAGTTAGACCCACCTTCGCCTACAGCAACGAGTCCCTGTACTACTACTTCGATGCCGTCAACATCCTGGACACTTACGACCATCCCAATGCTATACAACTTAAGAACGAGGAAGATGACGGTGGGCTATTACATGCACGACTATATTTAAACTGGTTTGTTTATAATTAAATATTTTATTATAGAGGAGCAATACATTGTGGAGTATTCGCTGGAGTACGGCCACCTGCGACTGTCTTCCTCCACGCGAAAGCGCTTAAACATACCTGTACTCACTGTCCAACTGGATCCCAATAACGACAAGTGCTTCGGGGACGGACTGACGCGATACCTGCTCAAACGTCTGCTGGGGTAAAATAAACTATTAAGTTTATACTTCAGCTGTTTTTTGTTAACAATAGCTTTTATTTCGTAGCTACGATGACTTACTGATGGCATCGGTAAGAACGATTGCCGAGCAGGAGGAGAACAAGGGCTACCTGCGCAATGTCATCACCGGCGAGCATTATCGCTTTGTGTCCATGTGGTGGGCAGCCTGGAGCAGCTATCCGGCTGCCTTCTTTGTGATGCTGCTATTTGTAAGTTAACTGGTTTCCCAGCGACTAAGGACTTACTAAAATAGCTGTATCTTTTAGACATTTTCGGTGTCCATGCTGCTCCGCTACTCACATCACCAGATCTTTGTATTCATAGGTATTTACTTAACACTATCAAATATTTGATAGGTTTTAAAGAGCAATTTTTCCTTTCCAGTCGACTTGCTTCAGATGCTGGAGTACAATGTGTCCGCCCGGTTTCCCATTGCCCCTTTGCTTACCGTCATTCTGGCGCTCGTAGGTGTGACAAAACCCTGACGACTGATTAATTTGCATGGCCATTAACCCTTGTATCTGTTTTCACACAGGAATGGAAGCCATCATGTCGGAGTTCTTCAATGACACCACCACGGCCTTCTACATCATACTGATTGTCTGGATTGCGGATCAATACGACGCCATCTGCTGCCACACGAGCATCACCAAGCGTCATTGGCTCAGGTGCGTACCGATTTGGCGACGCCACTCTCTTAAAACATATCCCGAACCATGTTTATTTTTTTGCTGTGCAATCGTCCGTGGCCCGAGCAAATGACAAATTCAATTACATTAAGTCTGCAATCCTTTCCAGCATCTATGTTGCCGCTGTCCGGCCATAGATAATAGCTTCCACCCGGCATCTTGGCCCTCCCACTGCCCACCTCCGTCATCAGCACTTAACAGTTCATTTCGTTCGGTTCGCATATTTTCCTTCTCTTTGGTCTCAGTCCGGGTATTTTGCACTCGTACATCCCAGTCCAACCGCTGGCGTTCCGGTTGTTATTTGAAAATTAACTTGGCTTGCGCAAGCCTCCCCCGGGGCCAGAACAAATCGACCAGTGGCCACCCCTTCGTGGGCAGTGGGTGTCCCGCCCATCTGCCCATCCACCTACCCACTCACACACAGACACCGGCAAACAGAGAATTTCATCACTTAAGTCAACAAGCGTAACCCAAGCGCCAGTTCTCCATATAGCCATCGTCATATTGCTCCCGACCAACTGGCCCGGCCAACTGAGCCGCACCATTAGCAAACATTTAAATAAACTCCTCGCTGCCTCATAACAAAAGGGGGAAATACGAAGAAAAACTCGGCGAAAACTTAGAGCCGCTCATTGCCGTTCGATCGACATTAATGACCACGCACGTCAGAAGCGGCGGACAGCCCCATCCTCGCCAGAAACGGAGCTACTTTGCGGTTTATTACGCGCACTTTGCATAATTGAGAGCGGCCGCCGCAAGAAATTATTTTCTTCCTTTTTTTTGGCAACTTTTCCGGACATCAATTTGCACGATGCGCTGAACGGACCATCAATAATTCAAGAAGACACTCGAAAATTCCCTTTTAAGCGGGGGCCAAGGTCCGCACGCCTTGATTATGAATTCATGTGCATGCATCCATCCCCAATCACTGGCCTCGCCGCCTTGCGGTGTTGATTTTGCGTAATTTGCGCCGAATTAAAAGGCTATCAGTGCTCCGAAAATGGGACTAGAGGGGGTGGCAAGTCTCGCCTCGTCGAGGACCACTTGTCGTATTTATATTCATTAAAGATTCATTGCCGCGAATGATTTTAAATGTGCCCGTCTTGTTTGCCCAGAGCTTGTCATGGATTCCTAAGGAAATGGCAGCTGGCAAACGAGCAGACAACAGATAATTTAGGCTGGAGTGCGGCCTGCTTTCGCTCAGTGTGCGATTCTACTGGGGCACAAATTACCAATTTATGAGAGGCACGCATAAGGCATCTTTGACTCTCAAATATGCCCAGTGATGATGAAAAGGTAGTCCAGATTCCTTTGATAGTTCCCCTGCGAGCTAGTAATCTGTGGGTTGTGATGTGCACCTGGCCAAACGAAATATCTTTTGTGTCTGCTGCCCCTTGGAGTTTCGCATAACTCATCATTTGCCCGCCCAGATTGTCAAACTTTTTGCAAAACTTTTGAATGAAAAAATATCCAATTGCAATGTTCCGGGCGAATCCTTTTCTGTGCAATTGAATGGCAAACAATATCTGATGCTGCCTGCTCTAAGGTAGCCAAAGAGGATATTGATTGGGCATGGGTATGCGTCTAAGTCCAAGTCCGAGAGCTTCCATCTTTGGACAGCTGCTCGGTCCTGGCTTTAAGTGAAATTAATTCAGCGCAGGGTCCCGGCATATCCATATGCCATATGGCAGGACACTCCGCCGGAACCATAAATGCATGCTTGTGAGTGTTTTGTGTGTCTGGAGGGTGTTTTTGGGTGGGGAGTGTGTGTGTGTGTGTGTGTGCTTTCCTACGGTTTAATTTTGCTGTTATTGACTGCCCCAAGCGGTGAAAGGGGTTTCCGGAACTGTATTTTATACCCTAGCAGAGGGTTGTTTAGTTCTGACTAAGAGGATTTGTTCGATTAAATAATATATATAATCAGCTTCATTTTGTTAATTAAATACCTTTAGTATGATGTCGTAGTTTTATAAACTTCTATTGCTAATAAAACTATTAAGAAAGAATTATTGTAGGTGAAGTTAGAAAAATTTTCTCTAGAAAATACTACGATTTAATTGTATTCTTTTAATTTAAAATCAATTTTATTCAAGTTAAGTTTATACCTTATCATACCTTGACATATTGCTAAGTACATATTACTGCCAGGGTATTCAAAACTTCGGCATTGCCAATTAAACCTTTTTTCTTGTTCTTGATGGCGCCGCTGTTGTTGGTCCTGCGGTTATGGGTTACAGGGCCGGGATTGCTTGTTCTGCTGCTTCCTTCCTGACTTCCTTCCTGGTTGCCTGCCTGCTGGCCTGAGGTGGGGTCCTCCCTCCAGATCCTTCTGCTCCAGCTTCCGTATTTGCTCGCCTGTTTTTGCGGTTAACTTGGTCTGCGAAAGGCAGGCAGTCAGCTAAGGCCCAAGCCAAGCCGGCTGGCATTGAAGTTAGCATACAAGACAAACAAGCTGGCGGCGCTTTTCGCTTTTTAGCTACGAACCCCCCGCACAATCCCCATCTCCCAACTACCAACTCCCACCTCCCTGCCGTCCGCCAAGTGGTATTAATTTCATTGCATAGACTAATTTGTGTACTTAAACTTTGCTAAAAGTTGCAATCAACGTGAATTGCAAATGGCAATTGCAGAGCAGACGGCAGTTGGAAGCTTAAAACTGTCAAGTGGCAACAAAGCTTCATCTGCCGCTTTTAGCCAGCCAACTAACCTTCTGAACTTCCTGTCAATTGCCTTCAATTCATTCTAATTGACTTTTAAGGGACTTTAAAGTCATCAAAGGAGCGGCTGCCTCGGCTCTTCTTAATCGCCGTTTAACGAGGCCGCCCGACTTTCCCTAACTACACGCGTATATTCGCAGGGAAGGAGCATAATAAGCCCCTGACACCCGACTTTTTACCCCCATCCCGATCCCTCAGCCCTTTCACTCCGGACCGGCTTCTTATTTTGCCCTGTGGCTTCTTGCGGCGCGTAATGCTTCTTTTGTGCTTAAATCTGGTTGCCAGGCACGGGCAGACGACACGTATTAAATGAGCTGCAAACGCACAGGAAAAGCTAAAAGAAACACCTGCCTGCCGGCCCCACCACCTTATCCTGTCCCTTCTGTTCCTGCCTCCGAATCCCGAGTCTTGCGCAGATTGTTTGTCGCGTCGAGAAGCTGGCAAGGAAGCTGAGGACGAGGACGAGGACCAGGGCTTCAAAGAGCAAATGCCAGAGTGGTTGGGAAGGAAGGGGTTCGGGTCTGTTACAGTAGCGCGCCTCAAGTAGCCGCCTTCGACTCCGCTTTCGCCCTGTTGTTTACACGCTTGTTACGCTAACAAACACAGCGACTATATATATATATATATAAATATATGGGGATAGGTATAGGGGATAGGATAGGGCATAGGATAGGTAGGGACCATATAACATATATATTCGCCAGCCATTGTTGCCGCTGCTCGGTCTGAAAAGGTGGCCTCGGTGTCGGCGGGTTAGCCTCAACGTCAACGGCATTGGCAACCATGGTGAGGAGTCCCCGGAAAACTGGGTGGTGGTGGGAAAGCGGGAAAAGCGGGCAAGCATTTCCCTTTCGCTTTGCACTCCTTTGGCTGTTTTCGTGTTGATTGAGATCATGTTACGCAAAGTATAATTGCGTCAAGTTTGTTTTTCTGCCATAACTTTTGTCCAACCGCGCGGGCGGCGACCCCCATCAACAGAAGTGGCTCAAACAGGGGGGATGGGGTTGGGGGGGGTTTATTTGATGGGTGGTGGTAGTGGTGGTGACTGGGCGTATCCTTGTTGTGTGGGTGTTGTTCAAAGGTGCAGTTGATGAGTGTTCATAACGAGGCAAAATCGCTTCATTGTTGTGTCTGTGTGTGTGTGTGCTTGTGCTCTGTTTGTTTCAGTTTCAGCTTGTTTTGTTTGTTAACATGGCGTATGCGCAACGTGCCTTTGTCTACTGTTTGCATATGCGACAACTCTGTTCCAATTTATGCATGAAAATGGGTCGTTTTCACGCATTTAACAGGGAGCCGTGGGGACACGGAGTGTTTGCCGGGCAAATACTTCAGTTTTTGTGATATTTCAATTAAGTTTCGAGTTGCATTCAGCAACCGTATCGCGTTTGAGTCTCATTCTGCGAATCGAACCCATTGAACCCACCTTTGCATCAGGTGGAATAGATACTGGTGCTTAGCCCAGCAGGAAAGATATTCAGTGCCATATGCAAATGCTATTAAAAGCAGCCATACCAGCAGAAGAGCTTACAAGCTCATTGAGCACTTTAACTATTACGAATCCCCCCCACGGCTCCATCCACTTCCTCCTTTTCCCTGTTTGCGTGCAACAAATAAACACTTATGACGCAGATCGGATCATCGTTGCTGCAGGAACGAACCGAACTGACACGACCAGCAGCAGCGTTTCACACTTGCCACCAGGTTGAGCTGAGGTGCTTACTTAACCACGCTCCGACTCAAAACAAGACTCCTCCCCGCCAGTCTCAACCCCATTCTCACACCCAGACACATGCAACAGTTGTCCTATTTGCCATCCAGCCCCTTCCCACGCCCACTTCCGCTCTCGCTGCGAAGGATATGAAAGCCAACTGTATTTGCCTGGCGCACATCCGTCCTGCCACGTCGCACACTGGTCGATGATGGCTCCAAACAGATTGAGCCGTTGCACTGAAGGAGTTGTAAGAGAATGAAGACTTGGTGTGATTGGAAAAATGTCAAAAAGAATAAGTTTTGAGGCAATTTGTATAGATATTTGTATATCCACAAACAACGATGTACACTTAAAGCCTATAATTATACTTTTTCGTTGGGCTTACTAATTGTCCTCAAAATGGGCTTCTATTGTAAAGTATCTTAACACTATTTCTTTTAAGTGACTGCTACAAAGCTTTATATAACGTGCCATTAGCTAAATACAGCGTTCTTCTATTTTGCGATAACACATAAATACATTGTAGAAATTTGAAAGAGCAGCTAAAACGATTCCTTATTTTGCAGCAAATAATTATATTCTTCATAATCTGTTTAATTAAATAAAAAACCGATGCTTTATAAATTGTATTAATTCAACCATAAATATTTAAAAATATTTAAAATTAGAATAAACAATTAAATTAAATTAAATTAAACATTAAAGAAATGTTGAGTGTATGTAAGCAAAAATGCGCTCCTTTTTTCAATTGTTGGTACTTTTGTAAGTAGATTTGGTCGATTGCATTGAAATTTTGTTGCGAAACTTTGATTCACAAACTTTCTAGAAAGGACAATGTTTGTCTGGTTTGTCTGTTTTAAAAAGGACAAATCCATCTTAAAAAGGGTTCATATTGTGTTTCGAAAAATATCATCTTGTTCGTTTTTTAGAAGTTGTCCGCTTAATTCCTGCCCGCAAAACAGATAGGAATAAAGCATATATATGAGTGACATGGCATAAAGGACTCGCGGATCTCAGCGCACTGTGCCTCCCCCACCCCTCCAGTCGATGCAATTGGGATGTGGAGGAGCTGCGTCGGAGAAAGGGTTTGAGTGCCGGCAAAGGAAAGGGAAAGGAGCGGAAGCGGGGCGAATGTGAAGGCGTTGCTGCTTGTCAACGCTACGCTACATTAGGAAAGCGAATGAAACGGAAACGAACGGGCGATAAGTGTTGTCTACGTGTCTGCAGCCCGCACTTCCTTTTCCCGGCGATTCGAGGATTCGGGGCATGTGTCGAAGGGCGGGGATGTTGAGGAAATTGCTGGGGAAGCGTTTGGCGGGGATGTGTCCATAATGCTCAATGCTCCTCTGCTTGCGCAATGCCCTGGAAAGGCTTGCTAAATAAGAGTCGTGTGTCTTCATTTGTCGCTGTTGATATTGATGGTCGATACTTCTGGGTTGCCCGGCGTCTGTGTGTTTGTGTGGACACACAATCAACTCGAATTAAATTCAATAACATAACTCAATCATGGCCATGCCTTCGTACCCCAAAACCCGATCCCCCCTCATGGCTGTAAAAATAAATTAAAGTTGAATTCCGCTGGCCACGCCAAAGGTCTTCTGTCCGGTTGTCAAGCTGTTTGTCCGCTCGACCATTGCTTATCAATGAGTCGCCTTCGTTGTCATTATTGTTGCCTCTGTTGTTGTTACGGCCATCCATTGTGTTTTTTATTTTCTATTTGTTGTCTTTGGCCAGCAACAATTCAGCTAACAGCGCCAGCAATTATTTATATTATTAAATCCTCTTGAGTGTTTTTCTCCGTCTTACGCCCCTCCATTTTCCTTTTGGCCATTGTTGTTTCCGTTTCTAGCCGCCGCCGCTGTTGTCTTGGCAGTTTTGATATTTTTCCGCCTCGGCTACAGTTACTTGTTACTCTTATGTCATGGCCCGTGCTCCCAGGGCCGCTCCTCCTCCGGCCACCACACGCCTGACCCATTTCTCCGCAGCTTAGTCTCAGCCCACCGAAATAAATGGTGGCGGGGTGAAAGCTTGAAGGAGGTGGCGGAAAATAGAAAAACAGAAACCAATATGTTTTCGCTTTTTATTTCTGGCAGCTAAATACAATTTTGTCGAATGGTAATCAAGCTTTCCCCGCCCACAAAACATCAACCCATCAGCCCCGTCGATCGCCAGTATTTGATGAGGGTTCTCTAAGTCTTACCAACGATTTTTGGCAGCTTTAAAACGGCTGGGAGCAGATTGTTCTTTGGTTCGCCAAGATTGCGTCTCGATTTCCTTAAGTGCTTGACACATTTGACACAACTTAAGTGGGGTAAATGTTTCACTTAGTCCGAGGTGCAATAATATGCACACTCTATTTTACCATAACTTGATGAAGCCTTGGATTATATGGGTTTAATAGGCTGACAAGTGTTCTTAAATAGATTTCAAGAAATTAATTGAAAAGTAATTGCACACTGAATCTATAATTCTAAAGGCAGTTTTAAATAACAATTATAAATTGCGCTAGATGTATTAAAACTCTCTAATGAAGACCCCAGCTTATACACTGATTTGACTATCTTTGCTTAGTTCTGTTTGTTTTAGGATGACTCAAAAAACAGAATTCGACAGTGAAAAGAATGTGGCATCCCGCAGGTTGTCGATTGTTTGAAGCCCGAAACTAACCTTTTGTGTTCATTTGCTTGCAGATTCTTCTACCTGTACCATTTTGCGTTCTATGCGTACCACTACCGCTTCAGTGGACAATACAGGACGTTGGCGCTGCTCTCCTCGTACCTCTTCACCCAGGTGAGTAGCGATGGCACGTAGCCACATGGCGTAACCATGGCGAGTAATGAATGCGTTATGCAACGGCCCTGCGACAATGATGGAAACGAACTCCGGCCATGTTTACGCCTGTCAAGTGCATGACAAATTGCCATTCTCCGTTCTCCATTCTCCGTTCTCCGGTGGCATTGTGGCATTGTTTCCAGCCGGGCAGGGCCTCACGTGCAGACCGAACCCCGGCTCACGTGCCCGGCGACCGTGGCATAACCTCTCATCCTATCCCATCCTGCTCCATATATCTGTCTGAGGCTCGCTCTCCCTTTCCTCTTTCGCAGCACTCGATGGTGTTCTTCTTCCACCGCTACGAGCTGCCAGCCATCATGGCCCAGCACCAGGTCTTCATCATCACACGCAACCAAGGAGCGGCAGCAGCTGCAGCAGCCGCGGGAGGAGCTGCTGCAGGAGCGGCAGGAGGAGGAGGAGGAGCAGCAGCTGCTGCTGCCGGAGGAGCACCAGGAGGTGTGGCGGGAGCTGGGGGAGCTGTTGGCCAGCAGGCGGCCATGCAACGTGCCCGCCTCATAGTGACGCGTCTCTTCAGCCAATTGGCAGCACAGCGCCAGGGGCAACAGCAGCAGCAGCCCCCACATCCGGAGCCACAGCGTCAACCGGGACCCACTGCCGCCGTGGGCGTGGCCTTGGCCAACCTGAGGAGACTGCCCGTCGTGGGCCAGTGGCTGCAGGGCCGCGAGCAATTCGCCACGGTGCGACGCGTCTTCCTGGGACACGGCGGCAACGCACGCCTGATGCAGGTGCGTCTGCAGAGGATAAACGTGGCCGACATACCTGGCTTGCGCAATCAGGTGGCAGCGGCCATGGCGGCAGCCGGGGCTGTCCAACGGGGCGACAACCCGGCGGCTGATGAACCTACCAGCGGCGATGTTGCAACATCAGCAGCAACATCCGCCACCACAGAGGTAGCAGCAGCAGCAGCAACGCCAACAGCAACAGCAGCAACACATGCAGCAGGTAAGCCCTGGCGACATTCCCTCGCCTTAATTGAGTGGGGCCGGCACACTTCATTGCCTTTCACATTGAGGGCTTAAACTCTTAACTTTTGCGGCAACCATTTGCATACCCTTTCAGTGGGCTTAATACTTGTGTCAAAGGATCGCCATCAAAAGACTATTTTTGTATAATCCGACAGCGTTTGTTTTTTAGTTCTGTCCATTCATATAAAGAACTCAATTATAAATAAAATGGGGAATGAATACAAATGATGTGCCTTTACCTGCAATTTTATGTAGGCGGCCAAAAACACATGCATTTCCTAAAAATATAAAAATATAGCTTTTCAATGAAAAGGGAATAGAATAGAACATTCTAAAATTCGACTAGTATCGATAGCTTACATTTTTTTCGATGCCAGAGACATCGTTGCCACGAAGTCCTTTTTGGCTGTGTGTGAAATCGTTTGGAAGATAAATTCAAATTTGAATTCCACTCGACAAACGGGAAATCCCTTTCGCCTCCGGACCCGCGTGTGTGAGTTGGTAACAACCAAACAAGCAATACAAATAAGCAAATAACAGATTCAGTGGCAATAAATGCCAACAAGAGCAGTGGAGGATTGCCAGTGGAAGGAGGTAGTGGAAGTGGGATCCAAGAAACCCTCAATTTCGGAGCACATTCAATAGCCAGAGCACCAAAGCTCTTCTTAACGTCTGTCTGTCGGTATACAATAATCGTAATATGCATGAAATTATTTCTCAATTCGCAGGAAAATATTCACTGTAAATGTTTCGCTTGTCATTTCCTGTTTTATTTTCACTCTGCCTTCAAATTCCCTGCATATTTCAGATGTCGAAACAAATCAGGGACGCAAGCAGCCGACAACATCGGGCATAAATGATGCAGCAGCAACGGGAGCGGAAGAAGCTCAAGACAAGCCCGTTCAGGAGGAGGTGGATCAGGAAGAGCTGCCGGATGAGGGGCAAACGGCGGCCGTGTCCAAGACGCTGGAAAATCTAAATTCCGTTGCGGCGGATATTATAAATATGTCGGATGAAACTACGGCTGCAGCAGCAGGGTCCCCCCTCGACGGCACTCAGCATCCACATCAGACCCCGATTCGCACCCACGTCCATGATGTCCATCAGACCCAGCCAAAGGCGAGGCAATTAGAAAATAATTTGCCAGAGTTGCTGAAAGCGGAGGGGCCATCCGCACCAGCAGCGGCATCAGGTGAAAAGCAAAGCTGCCCACTACAAGCTCACAGCATTATGAATGACCAGCAGCATCAGGGGCAGAAAAACAAACCGGACGAGCCCGCGACAGCAGCAGCAACAACATCAGCAGCTGCCACGTCAAAACAATCCTCTGAGCGAGTAGCAGCAGCAGCAGCAGCAGAGGTAGGAGCAGCAGGAGGAGGAGCAGCCAGGCCAATGATGGATGACAGGCAAACAGTTGATTTTATAGAAGGCGACAGCCCAACGTCAGCTGCAAATTGCCAACTCAATGTTGGCGCAAACCACAAGGCACAGGAGCAGCAGCTAATGAAAACTTCACAACATACATCAAACCAAGTGACAACAGCAGCAGCAACATCCGCAGAATAGGCGAAGCATTAGTGGCGAGCCCCCAAAACCAACCCAACCATCCCGAAAAAAGCTACCCACATAACAAGATGTTATACATAAAAGAGCTAGTAAATTTTAGATAATTTGTCTGGTGTACTTATGTCCGGAGATCAACCACGACTCACTCCGCCACCCCCACCCCCGCTCCGATCCGAATGTGTGCGTGTGAATGTGTCTGCAAGGGGTTGGATGGATGGATGGATGAACGGGTGGATAGGTGGATAGGTGGATGGGTGGCTGGTGGTCCTGAGTGGGGGAGAAGAGTGTGTGAGAACGTGCTTGAGCTCGGACTGAAAACGAGATACGATACGGAAACGGAAGCGGAAACGCGTAGTTGACCTGCTTGCACCTGCAGGGAAAAGTCAGGATATATATTAATAATGTTGCACGCCTTTTTAATTAGCCAAATACGTGAGAAGCCGCAACACATGAACGGATACATACACACACACACACAGCATGAACACACCACAAGCTAGTCGCTTTTTAAAACTTAACTTTTTTTGCCCATCTTTGTTTGCCCCTTTATTGAGAAAAATGCGTTGAACATTTTTAATTAACTTTCGTGGTGCCTTTAACCCACGCAGCCCCAGCTCCGCCTAGAACCATAGACCCATAGAACCCTGGGAATCCTGGGAAACCGCCCGCCAACCGGACGGACAAACAGCCGTAAGCCCTTCCGGCCGATAACCAAGCGAATGCCGCTACTGCTGTCTTTGCGTTAACTTTATGGAAGCCCACAGCATTGTCAATTGTAATATATTTTGTTTGTTTGAACATTATTTAAAAAACCCAAATGGCATCACAAAGAAACACTGTGAATATTCATGAATAAATAACGTTGAATGTTTGACAAATATCACAATAATTAATATTGGCCGCTTATTAAGTCAATACAATGACTGTGAAATTCATTTTTGTACTTTTGTTGTTTTCGCTTTGTGTTAAGTATACTCCTACTTTGTACATGGTATTTGATTGTAACTCCGATCCGATCTGGTCTGAGATTGAGTGAGTGTGTCGAACTATTCAATAAGCAATGGAGGTCGAAATCTAAGTTCGAGAACGGTTTATAACTCTTAACTTTACACACTAAACTAATACTAGTAGCTATGACTATTTGCTATTGCTAAAAATGTTATTTCTAAATGTGTATAAATATATACGACATAAATCAAGTAAAAATTGTGAATTTACGTTGTTTGGGGCGTTCTTATGAATCTGAAATGGTTATGTAATTTACATAAATGTTAATGGCCTTCGCCAGCAATTTAATTTGACTGGAACACAAACAAATTATGGTCCATCAAAAGTTGAGGCTTCATTTGCATATTTCTGTTTTATAAATAAACTGAGCGGAACCAATTCGGGGTAGTCATGTGATAGATATTGCTCGGATATGGATTTGAATTTGAGGAAGTCAGGGGTAAATTTATAAAGATCCCAACGAATCTTAAAAAGTGAGAGCATCGCTGTTACAGCAAATTTCGTCTCACAAACTTAATGGTTTTCGTTATTAGTACGATATCTTCCTATTACTTTTTGTGCACGTGCTGGTATATACTTAAAATGAAGAACTAAATCCGAATTATTTAATTGGCCGTACTCTTATTTTCAAAAATTTAATCGTAATAATATACACTTCTATCCATTTACCCTTAAATATAAATAAAACAATTAAATATATATTTTCAAAGCTCTTCTACATCCTGAGACATAATTTACTCCCATAAAGTACCATAGTACATCGATTTTCCTTCCACAATAAGAAAGTTAAAAGAAATCTGAATTATTATCAGTCAATTTTACTATCGTGCTTTTTAGACAAATGATTGTTAATCTAAAAGGGGAAATCCAAACCAGAATTTTTGCCAAATGATCCAGTGCCATCAACATCGATAGCTAAAGGTACAAAGTTTCCCGCAAAAAATATGTAAATAGAACAATGCAAATCGTCTGAGAGGCTCCTTTCTGCTCCTTCTCCAGCAAATGGAGGTCCTGTGGATGGTGCTCCTGTTGATGTTGCTGCTGCTCCTGGCCGTAGCAACTTGTGCTGTCACTGCGCATTTCTTCCACTTCGCTGATGTGACCAAGCCAAGTATCTTACAATAATAAACACCGGGTCGTGTTGTGTCGTGTGTGCCGACTTGAGCGACTTCAGACAGGAGCAGGGACATCGCCATCGCCATCGCCATCGCGGCGACGATGACGGAGTGGCGGCGTTCCGGGCCAGACAGCCGTGACAGCCGGAGCATTCCGTTCAAGGGGATGTGGGGACGAGGGGCGATCCCATCAAGAGATGCCGATGGTCGTCACGGGAGTCGGGGAAGAACATACATATTTATTATGTCGCAAGTACTCGACTGCCTATATGAGCAACGTGAGCTTCCTTTGATTAACATCTTTATCAATATTTTCTTATTATTTGCTCATTTCATCCGGCTGGAGCCGAAGCAGTCGAGAACTTTTCAATAAAGGCGGCCCCGCAAAGAAGCTGGCAACTGACAGCAAAAAAAAATAAACAAATCATTTGCATCTCATTAATGCAAATCACACACATACATATACATGCTTGCGAACCTCATCCGCGAGGGGATGTGTTTTAAAAGGCTTGTCAAATCCCAATCCCATTCCTATTCCCATCCCCATCCCCATCCAATCCAGTGGAGTGGGAGCAACCCCCGCGGCGGTATCTTTTTCCAACTCCATCCCCTTTTATCCTTCCGAAAAACCCCGAGGATGCTGTTAATCAGAAGTCAAACAAAGTGTTGCCTACTTTCCAGCTGTGATTACGAGCACAACATTTTAATTGGGTATTTATATTTCCACAGCTAACATTTCCTTAAGGCTCTGGCCAAACAAAGGCTTGAGTCAAAAACTAACCATATTTAACTGATTCTGATTTACTCTGTCAGTTCTTTTTTAGCAAGCCCCTACGGCCAGTGAAATATTCGGGAATTGTAATTAAAATCGCAATAACTTCAACTGACAGTTCCAAGTAATTTACCTTTGAAATGCCTTTGTACTTATATAGATGCTTTTTGGGCAAATCGCAGGTAGGGGAACTTCTATTCTCTAACACATTCGCACGTGTGTGGAATTTTTGCACGAATTTTCTGAATACCTTTCAATAGACTGAGTACGAAATCAAATGTCCTGGCAAATAAGTTCTTTACATACGAGAGTTGAAAAGGCTTAAAGATTTGGACAGAAATCAAAGGAGCCAATTACTGTTGAGCATGTGAACGGAAACTGCTGCTGATTTCTAGGAATCTATGTCTTAAACGAATCATATTTTCTTGGTAATGATACAATTATGATAAGTTCATAGCTTAGAGTAGTTGTTTATTACGTTGAAGATGGTTGTCCTTAACTGGAAAATGTTGTAATCAAATCTATCTTAATGTTTATCTATAAAGTGCGTTTATAAAGTGGCTGCATTTAAATACCTTACATATATAAATATATACAGTAGAACTTCCAAAACTCAAAAATCAGATACTTCGTCTTAGAAAAATATATACATCCTTCCTTTCTCATAAGTTCTAAAAACATATGTTTATGTTACATTATGTTTGGTTTATACAATAGCCATTTGCTTCTAAGGAAGTTTAAAAACATCACTAAGTCCTCGATATACAAATCTGTTTCTCAAATTGTATATGCACGTGTGGTTTCAATAACTAAAACTAAATTTAAAATAACGATCATCGAAATGTAAATCAACCAAATAAACAGTAAAATAAGAAACAAATACAAAATTTAAAAATTTCTCTTGGACAAAAAATTTCCTTATACTGATTAACAATAAGTACTGAGTTTTGCCCAGAAAGATATTTAGTTTGTCCAAAACAATGCAAATAATCGAGCAAATATAACATTTGTGGAACATTTATCAATTTATCATGATTACAGTACTATTGCGAACTTACAGTAAAATTAGAATTGTTTATTAAAGGAATTTCTAGGATATTCCAAGCCGTTTTAATGATCATTCATCCTACATCTAATGTAGAAGTGTGTAAAGTTTAATTTAAATTATTCTGCACAGTCGTAACTTTTTAGTTTCTGACTTCTGGGTCTTGGTGGAAGTCGAGCTAGAATTAGTTTGGAACTAAAAAGGCCATTGACCGAAAAATCAAATACAATAAGAAACGGTAAGCAAAATAACGTATAAGTAATTGTGGGGCATTTGCTACGGATAAGACAAGATCCTCAATAAAAGTAAAAATTTTAGTGTTTAATTCTACTGTCAATACAGTAGAAAATATAACAACACAACCACTAAAAGCGGTATCACAATTTTTAATTTATACAAGTATACTGTAAATGTTCGTTAATTTAACAAACCATAATTTTCATATAAAAAAGAAAAGGCATAATAATGAAATATGTGTCTATACTCATGATTAAAATACTGTTGAATCATTGCCAAATACATAATGTTCATAATTAGTGTCTTAGTCAATGAATTTAATTTTTTTTTTCAAAATGAAGCCAAAAAAATTTTTTTTTTTTAAATCAGAATAGCTTAGTTCGTTGCTGCTCTAACTAAATACCTTTTAGATTTTATTGCTTAAAAATATAAAAAACCGTAAGAATGCCAATAAATATGAACCCTATTAAGAAACTGTAAAGGATTACCTTGTTCCAGTTCATTTCACTGTGTAGTTACTGCACTTTTTAATGGCCCCTGGCCGTACGTTTCATTGCTGAACAAATCTCACTGAACTACGTGTATTCTCAAGCAATAACATTGGATATCAGGTTATAGCTACGAGCATACACGTGGCCATTGGAGATTGCCGTCGCCACTTTAATCCACTTGGCGCATAAGTAAGGATAACCACGAGCTGCCACTTTTGCACTGGTGGTAATCGGATCCGGTCACTTTGCGGCGGATTCCATTTAATTTTCATCTACTTACCGTGGGTGTCCCAGGGATTCCTTTTCTGGGTTTTGTGTTTCGCGCCTGATGCGCCTAATAATGTCGAGCCGCAGAATTAATTGCACTATAATTTGTAATTAAGTTACCGGGCAAACACGAAACTATGCGTGGTGGAATGTTGGCGGGGAAAGGGTTCGTCCTCGGGCCAATAAAACCGAAGGAATATCGCTATTGCTGTCCTGTGGCTGTGGTGGGTCACCACTTTCCCCACCGCCATAACTGTACATGTAACTACGTTGTTTCACCGTAATTAATTAATTACATTACACAAACTTGCCGTCATCGCTGGCTGGTTGGTTTGCTGGCTGGTTGGTTGGGTGTTTTTTATTCCGCCTTTGTTGCAACTGCAAAAGGGGCTGTAATGGAGCACCCACCCACCCACGAGGCAGCCCACAAACGAGCATCACTTTCAATGAAATTAGCTTGTTTCGCAATCGTTCTTGCCACCTTCTTGTCGTGCCAAAATACCCCCCCTCACCTGGCAATTATTTTGCAATTTGGTGGCAGGCAAAGCCAATCAACTACTTTGGCAACTTTAGAGCGCAAAATGCAAAATGTAAATAAAATTAAGTCCCAGTCCAGGCAGCCGGGTACTAAAACTTCATAAAAATGCATTAAAAGTTGTGCGGCGGGAAAGAGGTGTTTTCGAAGCCAGGTAAAGTTGAGTTAATAAGCTGGCAGATTTCCCCCGAAGCTTATAACATTATTCACCATTTAAGTCTAATATTACACATTTTTCTGGCTTTAATTGTGCCGGGGAAAATAGAGGGGAGCAGGCGGGGGCGGGGAGGTGCAAATACGTAGGAAAACGGAAAAATCAACAAATATCAAATTGCTGCGGGGCAATGGTTCTCTGATGTTGCTGCTGTCTTCGTGTTGCTCCTTGTTGTGTTGCTGCCATTGCTGCTGTTGCTGCTGGTGTTGCTGATGCTCCTGTTGGTCCTGCCACACAGACAGAGAAATAAATCGCGCATAATACCGCATACCAGAGCAACAGCACGAAGTATTTGCACTGCGTGACAAACAATTTGTGCCAACATTGACAGCGACGCATCCGTTTCCGTCCCGCCCACAAGGATCCTGTCCCCCCACTCCCCGATGCCACGCCCCCTTCTCCTCCTGCCCCAAGGAGGCAAAGCCGCCTTATTCTTGCCAGTCCCCCTGTTGTGCAAATATAAATATTTTCATTCCGCTTTCATTTCTTTTGCCTCGCCGCCAGTGTTAATTGAAAAATCAT